TGACAATAAACGAAAGATAATTCTTGTTTTCCACCCAAGGCCGTTGTCGTAGTTTTTTCGTCGATACTTCAACAGGAAATCCAATTTTTCCCCGTGACTATTTTCGACAGAAAGAAGACCTATATGCCTCATAAGAGTGATCAATGCCCTCCCCAAGGCCAGTTGTATTGTGTTTCAACTTATTCAAACCAACGGAGTCAATTTTGATCAGAAGATCCATTGTCGCCAATATCACTGCTATTATCAGATGGATTAAAGGTCCCGTGCAACTTTATACTCGATGCTTAATTTTCTTGAGGTGATTTTGAAAAATACATCAAATTTTTAATTTTCGACCTTATGATATTGGAGAAAACATGAAACAATAGAGGGTCATTATCTAAAAAACGTTTTAAGAAGACAAAGATGGAGACAATAAGGCAAACCATAAACCCAAAGTGAATCAAGAATCTCAATCAAGTTAAGTTAAAACGACTTCAGGTAAAGATAGCAATTGAAACTTGCAATTGCCCACTTGGAAAAATATTACCAGAAATGACTTTGTATGTATCGATCGCATTTGGTTCAAGTTCATACATGTTATTATATAGCAAACATGCATTGTTGCTGACAATGGCTGAGTCATATTCAAACAATATGGGGCACGTGATTACATTTATGACGTGTAATCGCATAATAATAACAATAATACTTATATTTCTGTGTAAATTCATCACTCTGTTACTTATAGTATTGGGCCTTCATATGCAAGTAATCATTGATCAAAACGAAAGCTTTGTTCGTCACCTTAAAACATTTTAAAAACTTTCAAATTCGTTCGTGACCTTAAAAATGTTTAAAAACTTTCAAATTTGTTCGTCACCTTAAAACATTTTAAAAACTTTCAAATTGATCAGATGGTGTGTGATTCTACAGTACATCGTCAATTTAAATCGAACGGCCAAAATCACATTCTGCAGAATGTTAAGAATTTTTCTGTTAATGTGTTTTATAACAAACATGAATAATAGAATACATTTTCTTCTTGTCGTCAATTTTATGTATATCCCCAACTGATATCATAAACAGGAATGGGTTAAGTCACGTTAATCCAAGAATATGAAATTATGATTTCCTTTAATTCTCACCTACCTTATTTATCATTTGATCGGTGAGTAATGGAGTAGGAAAGAAAAAATTCTATAAATCAGATGGAACATTACGTATTTCCTTAATAAGATTAACGCTTTTTGACAATGAAAAAATATGATACAAAAGTGCTACTGAATATGCAGTAGCATATAAGTCAAGGTTACTCTCTACTTTTACGTCACGTTGAATGTTAGGACCATATATGGTATTGTATTGGATATTGCATCGGGTATGCCTGAAAAATTCCTTGGTATGCACTAAGGTAGTCATTTAGGTAATAATTTATCTGAATTATACAATATATATTAGATTATAGTCCTCTGACATTGCCATTCAATGTTCGTATTCCTGCTTGACACCACAGGCCTGACACCCACTAGCGTCAGTAATATCACCTAAGGATGTCATTAATCTGAATTAAGACATTATAATTAGAGGTAACACTGTTAGAGAGATAATTTCAGTGGTAATTTAGAGTTAGCTTCAAAATAGATGTTAAATACAGCATATAAGGAGGTAAAGCTGTATGTTTTTAGTAGAAATATGATGGCCCAAATTGCAAGTCAACGTGAAATATGATGGCTCAAATTGCAAGTCAACGTGAAATATGATGGCCCAAATTGCAAGTCAACGTGAAATATGATGGCCCAAATTGCAAGTCAACGTGAAATATGATGGCCCAAATTGCAAGTCAACGTGAAATATGGTGGCCCAAATTGCAAGTCAACGTGAAATATCATGGCCCAAATTGCAAGTCAACGTGAAATATGATGGCCCAAATTGCAAGTCAACGTGAAATATGATGGCCCAAATTGCAAGTCAACGTGAAATATGATGGCCCAAATTGCAAGTCAACGTGAAATATGATGGCCCAAATTGCAAGTCAACGTGAAATATGGTGGCCCAAATTGCAAGTCAACGTGAAATATGATTACCCAAATTGCAAGTCAAAGTGAAATATGATTGCCAAAATTGCAAGTCAACGTGAAATATGATGGCCCAAATTGCAAGTCAACGTGAAATATGATGGCCCAAATTGCAAGTCAACGTGAAATATGATGGCCCAAATTGCAAGTCAACGTGAAATATGGTGGCCCAAATTGCAAGTCAACGTGAAATAGGATGGCCCAAATTGCAAGTCAACGTGAAATATGATGGCCCAAATTGCAAGTCAACGTGAAATAGGATTGCCCAAATTGCAAGTCAACGTGTGGTATGATGTTGAGGCTCTTGGCTCGCCAGCCTTTAGAAAGTATCACAAAAACAGCAATCCAAGGAAATTAAAACCAGTTTTAAAGTATTAGAGGCACTGTATTGATAGTCTTCTATCAAAATTCGTTGCCTCTCTTCCAGCCAGGCTTCCAGAGAATTGGAAAAATGACTTGGACTCTTGAATACGTTCAGAGCGCTCTGGACTTCCGAGAGCGACGCGATGAGATTATTTACACGTTTTAAGACAAACTATGGGGATTTTTTAATTTTTTGGTTAGCCCCATTACGTAATACCTTCTGAGGGCTCTGGATCTCTGCCTGTAAGTAAACATTGCAGGCCCGTAGCCAGGATTTGCCAAGGGGGGGGGGGGGTCATTTTTCAAAAATGTCCAGGGGGGTTCACATTTGACAGTTTTGGCCCAAATATGGCTAAAATCACTGGAGAAGTACTCAAAATGGTGAAAAACTGCATGATTTTGAAAGATTTTTTTGCCAGGGGGGGGGTCGCCCGAACCCTGCGAACCCCCATGGCTACGGGCCTTCATTGACAGTGCGAGGTTGGTCTTACCCAACAAACCTCACAACGGGCAGTCACTTTAAAGCCCACTACGTTGCTTTCTAACACAATGTAGTAGTATTATATGATCAATTTGGTGATGCTACCTGATTCGAAATGTGTTTAAATGAACAAAAACTAGAGACATTTAGTGAAAGATATAATACCTATCGTCAATCTGGACATTCAATAATTAATTAATACAAGGATCAAAGTATGACACGTATAGCTAGGGTAATTAAATAGTTAGAAAATACAAAGAAATGCGTATGTACAAATTTACATTTAATGTAACCTACATATACCTTGACAGTGATGATTATGTATTTTAAGCTACATGAACGTACACCATAATTCAAGAATACTGTTCAAAAATCATTTGTCAAATTACTAATAAGTTATTTTGAAAAGTATTTAAGACAATTCTCTGGAACTTGTTACCAAAATTAGCTGGATTTTCAAGTCAAATTGGTAAAATTCTATTTCGAGTTGAAGGGGCCAATATTCCATACAACTGAGCAATGGTACAGTTTTATATTGAACATTTTTGTGAGACTTATTACTGAACTTTTTAAAAGTCAACCATGTCTTTAGTCTCAACCACAGTATTGCTTATTGCGTCACAATCGATATTGCACAATTGTTATTGCACAACGCCTTGGATTTTACTACGCTACACTACTGACTAATAATGTTATATTAAACGATGAGTCAATAATCTCTTTTTCTCGTGACATAATTCTACAATCGCATGCAAATTGATCGTCTTATTCACTATATCATTCTCTAGGATCTTTATTAATTGATAAACTCTGAAATACCTTATTATTAGGCAGGTATGAGGATTAATCATCCCTAACACTTTAGGTAGTATAAGGACGATGAGTAATTTGGCTAATTAACTTGCACATTTTATACCTAATTCCCAAAATAGTCGATCTTGGTCTAAATTAATTAGAATTTGACACATTGACTGCCATAAAGTATGTGTTCATGAATATAGCTAAATCTTTACACCCGAACAATTCACCGTGAGAGAACATTTTATTAGGTATTGCTATCATGTTCGGCTGAGTTATGTATGTATATGTCTATTGGCCTTCATATAGAGGAGATACATTGAGTAAACATTAAATGCTAGACACGAATTGATATATATTTCAATGAAATAGTTCGTTTTCCAACTCTCTTGCTCCTGATAATCCTTATCAAATAGATTTTCACGAAAGTCAAAGAGTTCTATAAAGTTCAGAAAAGTATTTTGATTTGAACGGTTATCATTCAATAATTCTGAAACGTTTTTTAATTGTGATTTTGGATATTCCCAATATTAAATCTTCATTCACTTGTAGATATTATATAGTTAAAATCTTTACGCAGATCTTTTTTGATATCTTATTTAAAATTGTAAGTGACACTTAATGAAAAATATTGCGTCCAATATATGTCTCTCCATAATTTGCTGCCACTTTAACAGACATGTACCACTTGGAAACAACAACATTGTCGAAGTATTTTTTCTCAATAAGCACATAACTTGCCACATCAAGGACTATTTACTGCATCTATATCACGTGTATTAACAATGTATATTTATGGAGTGTCATTTAGAAGAACCAAGAAGAATGGATCTGGTACATTTACTTCGATCGCTAAAAGGAGCTTGGTGATTGTGATTATTGTCGCAAATTGCCTCATGTATAAATAACGTAAAGTAGGTGCAATTCATAAGTGTTTGTATATGCATATGATGATATCATTAAATTAAGTATTTACATAGTAATTAACAAATTTGAAAATCTATAAACGTCTATAGTACACAGCATTTTGCCAATAGGTTATACATTAACTCCAAATGTTTTTCAAACATGAAACGGGCAAGTGACCTTTAATATATACAATTAGAAATAGACTGTACATGCGAAATCATAACGAGGCTAACCTAGAGACTGTTCCGCCATCTATTGCATAGATATCACATTGAACTATATTGGCTAACATATTGACTGCTAGATGGCGCTGATGGTAACATTGGGGCTGATGGATCGCATGTGCTATTGCTTGCCCCATTACCGCGATTTGCCTCTAGGTTAGGCCTGTGTCAGACCATGTCGCTCCGTTTTTCACGGAAATTTTTATAATGTGACCAAAGGCCATTTATAAGTTCAGACACTATAACGTCATTGATATTTTTGGATAAAAGTCTCAGGATAAACACTCCATCTTGTCTCAAATACCCATTTGTGAATTTTTTTATAAGTTCTTTGTCACTTTTCTTATCATAGCGTCCTATGCACCTCAGGTGCATTTTTATGTACCTGGTTCGATTTCCCAGACATATTACCATTAGCCATTGAAAGAGAGTATATATACTGGCCACTGCGACGAGCAAGAGCCAAAACCAAAGGAATATATACATCTTTTCATTGAAAACATTAATAGGAAGAACACATTGTAAGGTATGGCGATGGGTATTCCTCCCAAACACTCGAATTTTGAAATCGCAAAGGGTGACTGTTGGAAATCTCTTAGTTGTCATCTCACCAGTACCGTGGAGGAGAGTTTCAACAACCTCCACGCCGTAAAATGTGTAATTTGAAGCAAGGAAAACGTTGAGCAATGCAACTTGTCCTGCCGCGTTGCCGATATATAAAAGCTTAATGAATAAGTAGAGGCATACTAAGACATTACCGTCTCGCCTGGTACAGCATAACTTTTGAGTCAGACTGTATTTTAATTTCACGCAACAACCACCTTTCCGATCGTGTCCTGAATCGAAACAACGATCAAGATGGCGGACCAAATACGTCACAGTCTTGTCCCTGACTTCTGGATTCATGCAATCAGTTTCACTGAATATACGCACTATCTTATTGATATTAATCCCAGATTCGGTGTTAATGACTCTCCAGACAATACTAGGGAGAAAGAAAAAACAACTTTGGACGAGTAATACTATGGGTATCCACTGATAGTAGCCAATCTCCAAACGTCGGCGTTTTAGATCATCCATCGGAATAGAGTCCCCGACGGGCACGTAGTATGTATTTTTAACCCAGCATAGGCTATTTGCATAATCAACTTGCCAGTCGACCCACTCGTTTGGACACCAGCAGTGTATCGGGTCGCCTGTGTATTGCTTCCCTGTGACTAGTATTGAGAATACGACGAGGAGTATCGCAGTATATCGGTGACTCATACGGTCGGCAAAGTCGTCGTCATTCCGGGAACCCACCTGGTTCACCCGGGAAAATGCCATCAACATATTCCCCATGATTAATTTTCTCAGATGCTATCTCAAATCTAAAAAAATGTTTCAATTCTTCGTAATATTCAATAAATCTAAAGATTCAATCTCGAGTTGTTAGCAATGCAATTGAGTTGAAAACTGATGTCGTATCACGTTTATATTGGCAGAATCTTGTCCAAAGATACGATCAATCCATGTAAGTCCTGTCTTTTCCCGAACTAAATCCATCATCATTGGTATCCCATACAATCAGACTCTAATTCAGCCTTTTTTAAAACGATGTATTCTTCGGGACTATCTGTTAGATATGACGACAAGCCAATGTGAATATATTATTATTATCTAGCGGGTGAATATTGTAAAAGAGCCACTATGGTACCATAAATCGGCTTCCAATTTGTCTTTCAGTAAACGGTCATTATTTGTGAAGTTATTATTTTTCATCTATTCCTCCAAGTACCTCTCGGGAGTATATATAGCATCGGGCTGCGCCATTGAACAAATCTGAAATTAAGTCAAAATAGAGCAATCAGAATCCAGTTTAATAGCAATCAATAAATCAGTCTGAATGGATGTTTTCGAGCAATATTGAAAAATACCTCATGGCTGGCGAAATCAAAGTAAAAAAGAATGTCCGAGAATTGTCCAGCGTTGCGTTGAAAATACTCATACGAAAGTATGGGAGTCAGATCCATTTGCCTCATGCTAGAGCTACGACGATCCAATTTGCCATATCAAAAACAAATCTTGGTATTTTATCTAATTTATAATATGACTTCTCAGAGATTTTAGCTATGCGAAATGAGAACATATATTTTCGATGACTGACACAAGACATATATCTTCATAATGAATTTTAGCCGTGAATCAATTAATCCATAAAATTCCAATGTACTGTGATATACATTAGTTAACCTCAAATTGTCCGCGAAAAGATACCAAGCTTAAACATTTGAAAGGTTACAAAATGAATTGAATCAACAAACCAATTTCTGCTTTTCGAAATTACCATAAAAATTAAATAAGCTGTTTTGAAATATAAATCCAGATGGCCGATGGAGTACCGTATAAGTACGGTATAATTGTCATACTTGTAGACTGAGTCATAGGGATACCATGACTACCATAAACTGAGTCATATTATTACCATGACTACCGTAGCTATGAATCCCATAGATTGAGTCAAACTGAATAGACTGAGTCATATTTATACCGAGACTACCATAGACTGATTCATATTGATATCATGAAAACCATAGACTGAGTCATATCGATACCACGACTGCCACATTGAGTCGTATTGATACTATGACTACCATATTGAGTCATATTGATACCATGACTACCATATTAAGGCATATTGATACCAGACTACCATAGACAGAGTCAAATTGATACCATGACTACCATAGACTGAGTCATATTGATACCACAACTACCATATTGAATCATATGGATACCATGACTACCATAGAGTGAGTCAAATTAATACCGAGACTACCATAGACTGATTCATATTGATATCATGAAAACCATAGACTGAGTCATATCGATACCACGACTGCCACATTGAGTCGTATTGATACTATGACTACCATATTGAGTCATATTGATACCATGACTACCATATTAAGGCATATTGATACCAGACTACCATAGACAGAGTCAAATTGATACCATGACTACCATAGACTGAGTCATATTGATACCACAACTACCATATTGAATCATATGGATACCATGACTACCATAGAGTGAGTCAAATTAATACCATGACTACCATAGACTGAGTCATATTGATACCATGACTACCATAGACTGAGTCATATTGATACCATGACTACCATAGACTGCATCATATGGATACCATGACTATCATATTGATTCATATTGATACCATGACTTCCATCGATTACATGATTTGGATACCATGACTACCACCATATTGATTCATATTGATGTCATGACTACCATAGACTGAGACGTATTGATACGATGACTGCCATAGACTAAGTCAAATTGATACCATGACTACCATAGACTGAGTCTTATTGATACCACAACTACCATATTGAATCATATGGATACCTTGGCTACCATAGAGTGAGTCAAATTAATACCATGACTACCATAGACTGAGTCATATTGATACCATGACTATCATAGACTGAGTCATATTGGTACCATGACTACCATAGACTGCATCATATGGATACCATGACTATCATATTGATTCATATTGATACCATGACTGCCATCGACTACATGATTTGGATACCATGACTACCACCATATTGATTCATATTGATACCATGACTTCCATAGACTGAATCATATGGATACAATGACTTCGATAGACTGAGTCATATGGAATTTCCCGACACGTTCGAATTCCTGAATACGAATTCCTGATCTTTTGTTTCTATGTCATTACGATCACAATGTTACAATACAAAGGATATAGGAATTTCTTAGTTTTGGAATGTTTCTAGAAAGGAACCTCAGGCTAATTATATTGAACTGTTTATGTGTAGACTTTTATTGACGTCATATACAAATAGTTCTATACCTTGTCTACTAAAGACTTGCCATAATCAAACCGATGAACCAGTGCACCGACTGAGGTGAAACGTTAGACATAAGCTGATTCAAAATATTTATTTTAGCAACTAACCTCATCATATTTATATCGAAACCTCATGATGTTTTTCGGTAAGAACTTACAAACATATAAAACCAATGCATGGATGATTGAAAAACATTGACGAGATGATTTAAGAAAGTGCAACATATATATCACCTAAACATAGCACATTGGACGCTTTTAATTAGTGATAATACGCGTACGGGCCCTTAATCGTAACCAAGTTCTATAAACTTTATATATACATTTCAAAAATGATTCTCATATACTACCAAGGCATCACACTTCTCAATTTCCTCACCATGGCGAGACTCTCATAACTAGTTAATAAAGAATGTAACAATCTACATCGGTATTTAATTTGAGTATTACAACAAGTTTATCCTCAGTTACTGAATAGCGCACAATAAATCACGTAGAATCAGTACTTCCTCTAGTATGGTAATTACAGTTAAGATTGTATCGTTAGCCTATGATACTAGATTCAACACGCCTGCCGGGATGTTCGCGCGTTTTCCTAAATCCTTGTTAAGTGTATCGCAAACCGTGACAGGAGCGTTTGAATGGTATAAAATTGTAGTTATTATGAATAAACGGAACATCTTGTTATTGACCTAGTTACGTTCAATTGAATACTTGCTCGAAGAATCTTTATATAATTTATATATATTATTACCCTTGATATCTAATATATATTTGAATTATCAAAAGTACGTACATTTCTTGATCAACTTCAGTGATAGCTTTAATTTCATTTGAATTGAAGCAAGACTGACTTATTTTAAATTGTATGCACGACAATATGTCGTGTAGTAAAAGGATTACATTTTCGCTTTTGGCATAACACTGTTTAATGTAAAAAAAACTAAGATCTCATTTTGACTATCCAACGAACAGAATTAACCAAACTAAGTCATTGATCTACTTATAAAGGATATATCATTAAAATGCCGATATTTGACATTTTTGTCCCAATAATTTCATTATTTTTATGATTTCATAATTTATAGATGAACAAGAATGGTCAATTATTACATTAAATTAGTACTCGCAATAAATGTATCGAAACCAGTACCACAAATAGCAGAATTTATTTAAATCAAATCTTCAAATTACGAGCATTTGGGGGTAAGCCTATAATTCACAAATTATGCCAGCATTTTCATTTAGTTATTCTAAAAACGTAATAAGGCTTGACATATCGGATGGCAAACTATAGTTTAATCACGAGAGATTAAAACCACTCTTTAATTTCCTTCAATTCATACTATCTTGCGTGATACGTTAATTCTAAATAAAAAATATCTAAGTAAATTGATTAAAAAACAACTGTAATGATGTATGATTTCAAAGTTGCAGTAAATATTTATATCAAACGTTTTCGTTTTCGTTTTAAACTATGTCTAATAAAGCAATGTGTAAGGATTTTAACGTATTGTATTAACGTACTGTATACTCACTTGATACCAGATGCATAGTTATTCTCGCTTTGTACCAGCAAGTTAAACAAGATATCTGTAAATTATTTACAATCGCAAATTTAAATCGATCCGACAGAATTAATTCGTGATCGTTGAAGCGTTCGTTGTCTATTGTCCCATCAAGTGGGGATTTTTTCTAATGATAAGCCTCCAATGAGCGTTTATGATCCAATCATCGTACTGTGTGATGTCATCTGAGTCGGTTCCATCAGTATTCCAACTACTGACTACTCAATGTGAAACGAACTTTGAACTTTGTGAATATAATGAGCGTAACGCACCCAATATGACGTCTTTAGCCGCCTTTGCTGTTTCGGGGAGCTTAATCCCTCCTTAAAATTGCAATACCGTCTCCAAAACGTTATCAAACTTTTCACTACATCTTATTCCAATGTATATGTAATCCAATGTTAAATTTGCAATCATCCGAATTCCACTTCTCTAATTGCGTTAAGAATATATGTATAAACGTTTAGCAACTCCACTGTAGTCCTTTGTAGTGAGCGTTCTATCGAATTTTGTGTTGATACCAACGACCAACTCCAGCTCAAGTGAGCGCCTGGAATGAGTTTGTATTTTCCGATGCGAATCGATTGCGTTGTGCGTTGTTCTCTGCGAGTGAATATACATGGAACTAACTTCCGTATCGCTCCCACGGCGTTTATGTTTTCTCACTCGACAAGAAAGCCATCTCGTGTTTAACCAGCCTACGTTGCTTAACTGCAAACAGAACAAGAAAAGTGGTTCACATACATTATTCTCCACCTCTTCAATGTGATTGATAATGGTTATAATAGCATTCAAGAGAAACACATCTACATAAATAAAATCAATTATGGAAAAGCCGAACGGAGAGCGCACTACTCGTGTGGCGCTCTAAAGCCGTTTCTTACATAATCTACGTAACTGAATACACATTCGGTAATGTTACACTTAAGATATCAGTAAAGATCACAATATTTGCGAACAGATCATTAGTTCGATTTTTACTATTCAACACCTCCATTTATAGCAGAATCATAAACTATAGCACTCTGAAACCGGAACGAACGGAGATCCAATTTGGTTTACAACTATTGTGCGGTAATTTAACGCAATTCAGTTGCCTTCTAAACTCGAAAACAACCAAATCTTGAAGTTTGTAGTGCATTTTCAACGGCTTATTCAACAACATGGTTCTCGCTCAAACCAGGGACAAGCCAACTTGTGTTTTACCTTGATTTTCTGATCAGAGAAAATACCAAATGCAAGTTTCTTTTATGTTAACACAATGCTAAATAAAAAACACATGTGGATCGATCGCCGATTTCCCAAATTGCTTGATTCAACAAGGATATATATTCGAACCGGCCAATATGTTGCGAAAGTTATTTTAATGGGTACTGAATTTTATCATGGGCCGATCGAATGTAATTTTGGTTAGTTTTACGACCCAAAGGGGGTTAATACCGTATGAGTTTTCGTTCAGTACACATGCTTATCGCCGGGTATAAAGATACCATCGACTCTTAAGGACGTTTTAAACATGGTCCACGTATTATTCTTTAACTCCATATAAATTGATTGGTTTACCTCGCCTTTTGTTTCAAAGGATCAACCCAATCGATATCAGTCTCTTCCAATTTGGAATCTGGCCCTAAAAGCGATGATTTTAATTTAAGGCAAGTTGGTATTAATTCTAATGCATTTTGTTCAATTTCCAGCTAATCTCGGTATTCGGATCGTAGTTGTTTCCAATTACTCCTCAATCCCTTACAATTGATCTCATGGGGTCGCGTGACGAGACAATATGCACAAGATTGCGCATGCGCAGCTAAGTGAACCAAAGGTAGAAATCGGATCACTGTTTTAGCGGGATACCGCATGTCAATTTTATAAAGTTAAGTAATATCCTAATATAACATCTTACTCTTTATTGTAATGCGAGGTGTTCGATTGTGCTAAATATAATTCACATCATTTTAAACCGGAAAGTTACAGTAAGATATGGTTTAAATACAATGTAACAACATGTTATTGAAATATAGGGTAAATAACAACAATATATTGTAAAACAGTGCGCATAGCCACATGACATTGTAAAATAGGGTGAATAACCAAAGAATATTGTAAAACTGAATGAAGAGCAAACAGCATTGCAAAATAGAATGATTAAATACAGCATACAGAAAATAGACTGAATTTAAGCAAATGATGAAGTTTGGTAGTGATCTTAAACCAACAAACCGAAATAGGCACTTCATCAAATCTCATTAGTGAGTAAAAGAACTCGAAATAGTTCGACCAATTAATGCTATTTTGGGTATTTGTGTATTCATACACACCGAGCATCTCAAGTAAGGCCCAATTAAGTGAATTGTCTGTGTGGCAAACATGTGTTTAGAAAACATAATCTGACCAACTGCACGATTGTTTTGATTAAAATTATTCTAAAAGTGCGTCAAAAGCTAAGAAGGTTTTACATCATAAAAAATGATGTTAATAAAAAGAGCATGTCCGCGTTGAACGGAGAGCTAATTCTACATCCTAAGAGGGGTAAACGCTTGTGCGATTTTTCTGATGGTACTAGCACTGTTAAGCAGATGTATAATTTTGAAGTGACTAACCCTGTATGTTCTTTGCGTGTGGTAAATAGAAACCACTTGTTTTTTTGTTGATAATCAACTTATACATTCACTCCTGATAGTTATTCACTCCTGATTGCTATTTTATAATTTGCGTAGATAACTAAGAGCCTTTGCCACTCAGTGTTTGTCAGATCGTTAAAAATGAACAGAAGTTCATCCCTAAGTGGTACCCTCTTAATAGTTACATCATATCCCCAGGCAAGGTTTTTTCTGAACAAATGAAAGGAAAATCGAACGCGAACGAATGATTTGTTGTCAAGGCGAGACAGCCGGTCGTTTGTCATTGGTCCATCTTGAAAATACCAATACACTCCGAATATCCGTTCATAATGGCCATTTCGGACATCGTCTACGTCATAGTCGTACTTCAGAGCACCACACGAATGTAAATCGAAGATACCGATTTCTTTCAGTGTTTGCGAACTAAATAATCTGTTTTTGTTGATAAAGATATAGCTATACAACTACGCATCGACCTAAATGTTCGATTAATGTGAACTTAAATACCAAAATTACCAAAAGATTCACTTGATGTCCAAAGAATGATCAATTTATTAAAATGTTTGATTCAATAGAGTTTCCCTTTTTAGACGGGTAACTACATATTTTTCCCTTTGAGTATACTTCCCAGCTTATGTCCTGATATACAATAAGGACACTTAGATCTATTTACCTAACAAAACGACCGCCGGCTCAATCAAGAAGCTCTCAATTTGTTTCGGAAGAAAGACGATCTCCGAACGTCAAAAATAATATAGAGTCCTGAAATATTGCCGATGGACTCTTTTCATTAATGGGACTTCTATCTCTTCTCAAATAAGATTGTGTTTGCTCCGTGTAGATAGAGGATTCCCAGTGGATGGAGTTGGAGATGGAACAAGCAAGATTTTAATATGCCCATACAGTGGAATATAAATTGGATGATAAATCAGAAAATCACCCGTTTACAAAATCGAATTGATTTAATACGGCCCCAAGAAGTATAACGTTATGCATCATGGACTTATGATGTTCAATGCATACTAAAATTTCCTATATGAGATTCACTATCTGAGATCAATTATTTTGAGACATGTGAAAATTGCGACAAACGCATTAAGTATCTATAATTATTCACCTTAAATATTCCAAGGCATACAATAGAAATTATTTGCCCTGTTTAAATGGAGTTACACGCATCGATTGTGAATCCCATATACACCGTGCGCTGTTCAGAACCTCAAAGACTTGTAAAACAATAGGTGTACCCTCAGACAAAATACCACAACTGTGTGTTTGGAAATATGAAACAATAGACAATTAGTCATCGATTTAAAATGTGCATTTATATCTTTAAGCCAGATTTTGAATTGTATAAAAATCCGAAATGATCATAATACATAATATTCAAGTATATGGGAGTAAATTGTAAAAGTATGAAGATCCGAATGAATTTTGAAGCCGTGGAGAACAGGTAACGTACGTCGATGAACATGAGTCACACGATTACTGATCGATATACAGTAAAACACTGTTATAAAAAAGTTTATGACAAGGTAAATACATGGAAACCATGCAAGCTTGGTGACAAGATTAAAGGGGAATGTATTGATTTCTGGATCTGATCGTTATCCGCCTCAAATCGCAAACACGCACGTTTATTGTTTATATTAAGGTAAGCACAGTGAAGCAAATTCGGATTTGTTTGCACATTGGGTGAGTGGGGTTTGAGACCCTCTATATAATAGTATTAGACCAGATACCCCCGTCCACTGATAAAATATTGCTGAGTTTCATTTTCCTAAAAAATACTCTTCTTAAGAATTAAAATTTAGTGATCTTATTCATCGAGATTAGTATGAAATTGGTCAAATTTTGCATTTTAAAGGTACCCTTTGCGGGATTCGAACCAACGACCCTCTCGTTAAGTACATGATTTTGAAGACTGGATAGATTCTGTCCGTTCTCTACGATACAACTTGAAATATTGTGTTCTTTTTAAACAACGGAAATTACGATGGAATTATCCGGGGGATATAAAGTCTCACGTCAATTCAAAAATGAACAAATTACATTCCGGTTGACCTTAATGTGTTGTTCCCTTTGGTCATTAGATTAATAAAAAGTTAATTTTTAAAGGTCTTTGGTGAGAAAACTGTCGCAGAATTAAATTACGCGTACTGTATGTAGGCAGCATCTATTTCCATCCATAATTACGAAAAATGTATTTTGTGTGTTTTTCATTTTTATCAGGCTTGGCGTCATGTTGAAGGTTTACCAGAATTGTGTCATCATCTTATCCATCTATTTATATTGATCAGGTTGATTTTTGTATCACGAAAGTCAACATTTCACATTAGACCAAGCCTCATTTCCATTTTCTTAATGATGCAGAACTCTACTTGACACCTCTTTCATTAAACAGCCGAACATGTTCAAAGTTAAAGGTTGATTTCTGTCCTTTGGTCGTTCGGGGTACAGAAAACATTTGTGCCTAGCCCTGCGGGGTGTATTCGACAATATAACCCCCTGATCTTCGGGCTATATTTCTTAACTCGCAAATGTGGAAGAAATAAAGAAAAGATCTAAATGGACCGTATACAGATACCTCGTCCCCTTTTGTTCGAACTATTGTAATCAAAGATTTAAATTACGATGCCAGCATTGATACTATGAAAATAGTTATTCAATGAAAATGTCGAATTGCTAAACTAATGAAGGGGATGTATGCCGACCTCGAGACATTCATCTTTGAATTCTGGGTATTTCATCCTCTCAAGTTGTGTCAGGTCTACTTTAAACCGTTTTGCTTAAATATTGCCCTTAGTTTTTTTACAAGGAGTAGTCTTTGTCTTAGATAGGGTCTTCCCCACTATATGTACATGCCTACACACGTACGAGCCCATACTCCACGAGAAAATAATGTCAAAATGCAAAAACCACAAATCGATAATACCAGCATTGTTAACTCAACAAAATACGCTGTAAAAGGAGAGTTTCAAATTTACGTTTAATCAACTTAATCGGAAAGCGCCGACGCAATGGAAACGTGAATTGTTAGGCACCAGTAGCAACGCATTGATCAGTAGTGGAATTAGGTGGTCGAGCCATCAA